CCAAACCTCTCAAACTCAAGACACGTACACCGATTTTCAAAGTACATTCTAACAGTCCACTCTAAGGCTGTTGATAACATGTCATTTGACACCAATACTGCCTCCTGATGACAGGAGCCATCAGCGGGACTAGCTCCACCGCTTTTTTCCATTCTTGAGATACTGTCATATATGGCGTATCCCAGCTCTCCAGCATCCCAACCAGGAATAAACACAACGCAGGTGCTCTATCCAGACCCTCCGTCTTGATTACCATCCTAAGAGCTTCTACAGTAGCATCACTGCCACTGGTATACATCACTATCACACATCGGCTATATTAACTCCCACAACATGAGAACTTGGAAATACACTATGGAACCGCACCACACCTGGGTTGATTCTACCTTTGCAAGATTTCATACAATTAAGCTGCTTATACAGCACCAAGTTGCAGAAAAACTCAGGGAATCATCAAACTTATAATTATAAATGTGACAACTTGGAGTTTAATTATATAGGGTAGATGCAAGTCGTGCAGCGGACCATCTCATAAAATTGGCAGGACATACCAATGGCAAATATGTATTTATCAATTTTATATGAACGACTTTATGAGGTAATCACACCAATGTTGCAATGATCCAACACAGAGAGTTAACCTGGTGGCAATCCTACCAGCTAAGTGTACGACGTGCTTCTCCTCTCTATCGCATCCATGCCAAGCGTTTGTTGTTTGGCGAGACACCTGGTATATTATGGATATAGTTCCAATTTTCAATGCATCGTGTAATTGAATAACTATTGAATGGTCTTTAGACATTGCATTTCCCTACTGCAAATGATAAGTATACAATGATAATACATATTGCTACCTAATACATCCACTATTTTACAGTATGGAGACCATTATATTCTGTCACCTATTTGAGAAGATCTATTCAAATGTTCAGATCACTTTGAACTCAAAGTTATATGCCATATTTTCATGATAACAACAAGGTTGCTTTGCGAATAACGATTAATTTCTTCGAGCTGATCTATGAAGTATCTAATACATAAACATTCTAGTTATAAGATCCATGCCCCGCGCTTGTAATCGGATGTACATTGCAAAAATTTTCCGCATCTGTGGGTTGTCTGTTGTCCTCTTGTAGTCTCTTTGCTGTGCATGATAGACTATTAATATCAAATAAAGGAATCCCAATTTTCTTTTTTACCTGTAATGCTGTTCGTAGAATTGCCATTATGAGGATCTTCTTCATAATACTATT